TTACACCAATTCTGTGTCAACCCGCACGTGTCATTTGAGGCAGCCTTTGGAAGCGATGCCGAGCAGCACAAGCTGTGTGAGTGTCGATTGTGGTGCATGGCCCTGGCGTCCAAGACACTAACCCACTTCAGCGAAAGCTACGTTCGTCGCACGGTCGGCAAGAACCTGCAAAGTTTGCTGCGGCACTGCTGGAGTGCAGATACCTCCGTTGCTGCTGCTGCCCACGACATTGTCCACAACCATGCTAGTGATGCCCTCCCTTTCGTGCAGCAAGCTATTGCAGAGAGCATGCTCGCACTTATGGAAGACTTAGTCACGTCCAACATGCGCGCCAACTTGAAACAGATAGGGCCTTGCGCCCGCACACTTGAGAAGATCTTGCGCTCACTGAGCAAGCCTCAGTGTCAGAAGTGGGTGTCCCTAACGGTCAAGCTGCTGATGGACCCTCACGTCACCGACAAGGAAAGACTTGTCTGGCAGCTGAAGATGCTTTGGTTGGTTGACGACGATCCCAAGCGCACCTATGCAGAAGCTGAACAGCAGCTGCTGACTGTCGCCGTTTGCGACATCGGTGCTTTCAAGAATGACCTGCTAGGCCTCCTGAACAGCAGCTGAGGTCCGCATCCAAAAGCGCTTAGTTGGCAGTACCGCTATGCAACGATGACAGGACGCAATAATCCAAAACCTGTACAGTCGAACAAGGAAGAGCTCCAATCACCACCATCATCGTCGCCAGCTTCATCGCATGGTCAACAGTCTGGTCAGCAACATCATTCAGTTGCATAAACGTCGGTGAGGAACATATGTAGTCGTGGCACCAAGGTAATTTTGGCAGTGCCCATAGGAGGCTGAGCAATCAAAGTGATGCGTGTTCTCGCCCACGGCCCGACAGTCTTGCAAGCAGTAGGTACATGCAGTTCTTCAACATCTGCGACGAGGACGCCGACGGCAGGATCAACTACGAGGACTTCTAACCCTGAAGTCATTGATCCGCAATCCCAAAATCCCCCAGCGCCAAACCCCAAATCCTGACAGTCTAAACCCTTAGCCCCATCCGGAAGCCCTGGCATACACCCCCAAAGCACTGGTACTGGGTCTGGGCTTGACTGTTTGGGGTTTGCTTTAGCAGATGCAGATGTCATGTTCAGAGTTGGGAGGCCATTGCCCTTGGGTCTGCGATTGCGATGTTGTAGCAGTGAGGTTTCAGGGTTCACCGTTTGAGACTTGGCATAGGGTGTTAGTCTGGCGCTTCTCGGCTCCGGGTGCAAAAAGCCTAATGTATGCCGTTCTCTAAAGAAACCAAGTCCTAGGTCCGAAAGCCGATACCTTATAAACCCGGAGCTGCAGCGACAGAACGCTGAAAATATTGGGTGGGGGCAAGGACTTCGAGACGTATTGCGCCGTCCATGGCGAGTCCATCGTCCCCTGGCGTCAAGAAGCAGAAGAGAAAAATCAGCACCGCAGAGCATGCCGAACTACAAAACATGAGCAAGCCGAACAAGCTGATGAGCTATAGGAAAGCAAACCCATTATGTGCCATGCATTTAGTAATTTTAGAATGTGTGTATGCATGTACCTATGTATGTATGTATGTATGCACGTATGCATGCAAGCATGTATGCATGCATGTGTGCGTGCATGTGGAAGTTGATCTAAAGCTCCTTGGGCCATTGTATGAACGGCCAACTGCATAGCTCAGTATGCCTTCGCGAAAGTTCGGCGATGGTGCCGCTAAAGTTAATCTGTTTCTGCGAAAGTTATCTGTTTAGCCTACTTGCCGTATTATTTCTATTCCTATTATTATTAATATATTAGTATTAATATTAGTATTTGTATTTGTGTTATTGTTATGATTACCTTTACTATTTCTGTTTCTAGTGCTAGTACTATGACTCTGACAATTACTATGACTATTACAATTACTAGTACTATTTCTGTGGCTCTGCTATTACTATTGTGAATCTTGTTATTAATGTTGCGATGATTACATGGCATTTATGATTACTATGAACACCATTATCCTTCTTATCATTATTCTTATTGTTACTACTGTTGTTGCTAATATTGCGAGTGTTGCTATTATTTTTTGTTACTAACATATCACCACTTCTCACGCTCTTGCTACTGCATCTGGTACTGCTGTTGCTGCTGCTGCTGCTGCTGCTGCTGCTACTACTGCTGCTACTGCTACTGCTGCTACTGCTACTGTTACTACCGTCTCCACTTACTACCACTACCTGCCATACCTACTGCCCACAACCTTCTCAACAAATCGCTTCCAGTATAGGGTTTAGCGCGTAAGTTCCGCAAAGTTGGACATTGTTGGTGCATTTTGCGAGTGGCTGGCGAAAGGGGCACCTCCTAGGAAGCCCTTACGACCCATGGAATAGCCCCATGAAGAAAGCTTTTCAATCCTCCGTTGGTACGAAAGCGTGTCTAACAGCCTCAACAGCCCTGAAGCCTGTAGGAAAGGCTCCCAGAAACTCTCAATCAATTACGCCACCAAAAGCTTTGCAATCGAGAAACTTTCAGGAAACGTTGTCAAGAATCTAAACCCTAAGGCGGCATCAAACGGCCTTAACCAGCCATGTCCAACTATTAACTCTCACGCAGCCCTGAATGCCCGCAACAATTTGTCATTGAGAAGCTTGTAGCTTATAACTTAGGGTTGTAATTTCCAAAGGTATGTATACATGCCTTCGCGAAAGTTCCGTGATGGTGGCGTGAAAGTTAATTTCATATTCGTGAAGAAGGTTATTCCGGGATGAAGCAATTTAGATCAACAGCCATGTATGTCTGTGTGTATGCATCTTGGAAAAATGAGCCAGCGGGAGACAGAGGGAGACAGAGAGAGAGACACACACACAAACAAGCACACATACACGCACACACACACACACATATATATATATGTACACACACACGCAGACACAGACACACACACGCACACACACACAGCGAGACACCCAGTTCGTGGGGGCGTTTAGAAAGGGCTTGCAGCTGAGAGGATGGGATTTGGCGATGACACTGAGCCGTCAGCCCAAACCCCTCAAAAGCTTCATCGAGCTTGCAGTGCCGATGCAGCTCTACCCTCGCGCATCGAAACGCAGAAGTCTACATTGCCACAACGACACTCCCTAATCCGTTCCGAAGGCTCAACTTTGCTTGCTTGGGAAGCTTGACAAAAGCTGCTCACTTCTGTCATTGGGATGCCTCGGACCCCAATAATAATAGCCGTTTAATAGCCCACATCCGTAAGTTCGAGATCGCAAGCCTTAAGCCCCAAGACGCTTCAAGTGGAAACATAGCCTCACTCCAGGTTTGGGGGCCTAGGCCTACTTGGCTCCAAAGAACGAACCTGTACGTTACACCTTTTTGATTATTTTTATAGATCTGGGGGCTCTGAAGGACTTGAGTCTTCAAGATGAACCTGGCACAGGGTTAAGCATTCAGTCTCCACTGCTGCGGAATGTAAGTTTGGCAACCCCTAAAGCGCGGGCAGCCTTTCAAACCCCAAGCTGGGAAGGTCTACAAGCAAACCCGAAACCCTAAACCCCGAAACACCTAGGAACTCTCCACTCAAAAACCGGAAAGCCGAAAGTCAGGTCAACCAGACTCTGAAGATCCTCGAGGTCATGTTTGACGGAGTTATCGAGGAACCTGAACACTCCCAGTCTACACCGCTTTGCTCGTTGTTTATAGGGCCTTTGGACCGGGTCTTCGTCAGGAGTTCACAAGGATCTGTTACATTGTTACGATGAGGAACCCTTCCTTTTCAAGGGGAAGCCAGCCAGACCTAGCAAGAGCCCGGTACCTTTAGTTTTGAGGCAACCAAGGGCCTCAACAGTGCGTACCTGATGGGAGGGGATCGACTAGAGGGCAACCGACCCCTTCAGCTTTCGGAGTGTAGGCTTCAAGGATCCTATGAGAGAGTTTGGTGTGGTGTGTGTTGTGCTTTCAGGTTCGGGGTCTACAGTTTGAGGTTTATGAGTCCTCAAACGTGTGCCGTCGGTCCTGCTTGGCTCCAAAAACAACTTGACATCCCGAAAGGCACCCAAACCGAGTTTTATGGGTTACAGTTAGGCTTCAGTCTCGGGCTATGTACTCTAGAGTCTAGAGTCCTGAATACTTGGTGACAGCAATCCTTCGTATCGTTGTAGCATAAAGCTCCCAACCTGTATGACCTCAAGTCTTCGAAGACTCCGAACACAAGGCAACTCCGACAGCTACCAATCTCAACCCAGCACTCTAAGCGCCTGACCCCAAACAGACATGTATGTCCGAGACCATGAGAGTGTAGCATTACAAGCCCCAAACACTTGAATCTAGCAACTACACCGCGTCATGAACACCGCAAAACCATGAGTCCAGCCTCAACCCGGAACCCCGGTGCGAACGGTGAAGACCTATAGAGCCAAACTCGTGAATCCCAGACCCCCAGGGCACCAGTTGCAGTTTTCAGAGCTGACATGCCGTCACAGGAAGCCAAAACGGTGCGCTGCAAAAGGGGGGAATTCAGTAAGGATTTGGGGGCCGCGACGGGGTTGTTGACATTTGCTCTCGTTCAGAAGTGTCAGTGTTCATGCAGTTGTGATAGCTGCGTCGTGGCTAAATTTTCATGGCCTAGACCTCCATGTCAAGTAGGGTCGATGTAAAAGTCTCGTACATTCGGAACTTCCCGAACAAATGCGCCGTCCATGCTGTAGATTTGGAAGGAGACAGGCATTATCATAACTGCTACGGACGTCCGAAATACGAAGCCCCACATCGACTGGCAGGACGGACGGGCATGGGTCGAGGGTGCAAGGGGCTGCATTCTTTGCCTTAAAGTGGTTTATAATAGCTTCGGGTCGCCGGTGAGCTTGAGAGCTGCAACTCCCAATCCTGAAACCGATCGCGAGAGCCATAGAAAACTCCGCAACTCTTTTGGTGCATGGCATTTGTGTGTTTTCCGTGGGATTGCTACAAGCTGTCACGTCGGCTTGAGAACTGCTGTTCACCCTAATTTCTCCTACTTCTACGCTTGCGCCAACCCAACCCCGACTGCGCCCACTGCCACTCCTACTCCTTACCGCTGCCGCTGCTACTGCTACCAGTAAAGCCCAGCTGCTGCTACTGGTACCGCTGCAAGAGCTGTCGATGTTCGGAACGATAAGCATTGGTCCACCAACTTAAGCTGGATGTCGAGCTAGGGCTGCAGTACAGCTGGATCGCCGGAACACCCAAGCATCAACATGATTAGCAACAGCTCTTTCATTAGCAGTATCAACGTTAGTGCTACTCATGCCACTGAAGTGAACTGACACTCCCCACAGTATTGAATTATTGGCAGCAACGAAGATAATCACATGGGTACGTACATACATACATACATACATACATACATCTCTTCCGTACATACATACATACATCTCTTCCGGACGCAGCTCATGTAGTCTATCGGTTAGCTTGTCAAGTCAGGACCTTGCGTTCCGGTACCTCCAAGGTGTGCACTTGTGTGTCCCCCCCAACTTATGTGCAGATTCGCATAGCAGTACACGAGGTTTGCACAATCTACTCACCATCATCAGTGATCAACCTCAGCAGAGCAAAAGAGGACGTACGCCAGGGTGCTGAGTTTGTGCAGTGAGGCAGTGGGCTGCGGCTCGACAGATTTGGCATCGTCAGTCAGGTACCATGTGGCATTTTCGGTCCGCAGAAGTGTTTGGTAACGCCCCGACGAAGCACGGTTCCCCCATGCTGCACTCACTCGGTAAGCCTTCCAGCGAACCGCAACGTGTTTGGGTTCTCGAACACAGGGAGTCTGACACTTCATGGATGTCCGGTAATGCTTGATGATCCTTGACGGTGCGTCCCATCCCGTCGCTGCGAAACCTTTTCAGCTGCAGAATGACAAGGCTAGGCGGAACAGGCAGGCCAGCACGATAGTGCTGAGCATGCCACTGTTGCACGCAGTGTTGAAGACCTCGGGAGTCGGCATGGATGTCTACGGTAAGAGGATCGCTCGTCGAAACAGTATCGCAGATCGAGATGTCTGGGCTGTCAAGGCGTCTTATCTGCCACCGCCCCAGAAGGCTGGCAAGCCTTATCCAGGGTAGCAAACAAAACAAAAATTCTTGCACATCATGCTGCCGTTGTGGCTGGGACCACTGCCCACTGAGAAAACTCCATCCCATCTGCTTATGAAGGTCCAGGGAGCTGCGGACCTGAATCAACTGCTGCATGGCTGCTAAACTACCAAAGGGGGAGTAGGCAGTCGGAGAGGCACAAAAGGTGGCCCACAATACCGCAACTAAGGTAGTATTCATGTAGCATGCTGCGCCACTAGGGTTCGCAAGTGCAACACGGAGTATGCCACGGAGGGCAACGTGGTAGACTAGATGTGAGATCATCCTCAGGCAATGCCTCCAGTAATGACTGATTGACAAGCGAGGTCCTCGGGCTGCGGCCAGCGCTGGTACCCGTGGCCAGGGGAAACATCATCCCAGTGCCGCCTGCAGCTGGCTGGCTGGCCCGGAAAGGCTTGGGCGATCCCTGCACAGACGTGCCCGCAGTAGGTGGAGCGCGGAGCAATTGATAAGGCGTGGGAACGCCTTCCACATGTCATCGTTCCCCTCCCTGAGCCCTGGCTCCAAGACGAAGTGGACCCAGTCCGTCTGCGGTTCGGCGGCCAGCGTGCGGCTGGAGGCAGAGCGACGAATGGTATCCCCCCAGGTTCGTCAGACTCTTCGGGAGTTCGGTGGTCGCTATGGGTGTTCTCGTCCATCTCGAGCCTGCTTTCCTGGCTGTTCCACTTCATGTAACTCCAGGCTTCCTCCGCATTGATCCACTTCAGGTCCAAGGCATTCTTCTTGGAAGCCTCCTTCGCGATAACAAGCTTGATGATAGTTTTCATCTCCTGGAGCACGGCTTGGAGCAGGACAACACGCAGAGGATTGACGATTTTGCCCGGCTCCTCCTGTCGTAGACGGCTCCACTCCGTTGCGATGCCGTACAAGTTGGGCAGGAAGGACTGGGCACCATTCCGAAGGTACAAGTGAAGCCGAGTGTCCGGCTGCAGACTCTGGATTTGCATCTCGTGGCGGAGCAGGAGGCGAGTCACTTGCTGGACCACATCCGCGTGGGCCGAATATGTATATGTATATATGTCTGTGTCTATGTGTATGTG